GTGGACTACTCATTTACGGATCAATTTGTGTTTATCATCTGCATATATTTTTACCCATGACCTATAAAAGGTGCATTCTCAGAACAGTTCTCTGCTAAGACTCAGATTCTAATTAGGGAAGAAAAAAGGAAAAAAAAAGCTGAGTAAAGGGAGAAAAGAGGACTAAATATGGTTTTAAGGAAGATTGTTGCCTCATAAGATATAAATATTCACCTTAAGATATAAATATTCACCAAAAACTTATTAATTTTATCTTAGTCTTGTAAATCCATACTCCTTTTATTAGCTGGGTTTGTGAGTTGACATTTTTTCTATACATATAGTCAAACTTGTCCTTCCATTTGACCTGAAAAATATTCTTCTCTCTGTTGTAAAATAATTTTAGCTATAACTTTACTATAAAAGATAATAGACGATCCACTTTCAAAACACTTAAGGGATATTTTGAGAATTTTTCTCTAGCACAAGAGCCTATATTACCATGATTGTTTATTTTGTTATCATGTCTGTTTCATATGCATCCTCTCAGTGACTAAATTTTATTTTTATCTACTCAGAATAATGCATACCCTAAAGTGAGTACCTCCCAAATGTGATCAGTGAAAGAATGACTTCATCTGTGACTTGGAAAAGTTAATGGTTTCCTTTCAGGCCAAATGCACAAATCGATTCTCAACCAGAAACAGCCCACTTATAGGTATTCAAGTCACACACTTATTTCCTTAAATATTATCGCCAAACACATTGTATATTCTATTTTATTACTGTGCATCCATCTTTCCTTAGCATTAGAGGTGTTTCATTAAAAAGCAGTATAACTTCAATTTGTTTTTATGCTCACCTTGACAAAAGTAAAAATGAATCACTGAATAAGTTTAGATATGTGTATTTCTAATGACCTGAAAAGTTGATAAGTAAGGTAAATATTTGGCAAGAACATTAGAGCAAGCACAAAATTGGAAACTTTAATTAAAATTATTTGGCTACAATTGCTAATGATCAGGTTTTCTTTTCCTTTTTTTTAAACCATTCTTTAATTTGAGGACAAGCAAGGAGGTTTTCCCTGAGACCCATCATTGGCCCTGTTCTCACTTTGAACACGTAATTTCTGGACCTTATCATTCATATCTATAACTTCAGCTACCATCAATATGGTGATGATTCCCTAATCCAGATTTGAGTAACAAGTTTGTATTTCTGGTTATGTCTAGATTCACTCTAATATATTATATAAGCTCCCCAAAGGCTTGATGCTTCACCAAACTTACTTGTCTTCTAGACCACCATATTTCATCTATCATTAATCAAGGTACCCTATTCCAGGGATTATGTTCTATCCTTTACCCATTTCCTCAGATCCTCATACATATTCTATTAATTCTTGTGTCCATGTCTTAAGCTTTCCTCCTTCTCTTGTCCTCTCTCTTAAAGGCCCAATTGTTCTCTTCCAGATTTCCTTAGTAATCACCTCTTGGTATCTTGCCTCTGGTTTACTGGCTTTATATTGCTGCAGACTGATTCTTAAGAGTTACAGATTACAGTATGTCTTATCTTACTTAAAACCCTTATGTATTTCCCCATTTTCTTCAGGATATGGCTTAAATTCCAAAGCATGGCATCAAGGCCAATCCTGGATTTACCTCTGCCTGTTTTCTAGTCTCATCTCCCACATCTTCATATGTGTCTTTCACTTCAGTCATGCCAATTTACTTGCAGTTCTTGAAATGTGGTGAGCAATTGCATGCCATTCCAAATGCTGTTCTTCCTGTCTACAATGCCCTCACCTCAACAACTCTGAATTATTCTTCAAGAAATATGTCAAGCATCCTAGAAGTCTTCTCTTACCATCTCCTGAAGGAGATATTTCTTCTCTGTATTGCCATTATCTCCCAGGTTATTGGAACAATTATGGGATTTCAATCCCAATATTGATTTTCTTTTTTTAATAAATGGTTTTCTCATTTGACATTCCTTAACTGATAACTTTTTAAGGACTATATCTTGCTTTTCTAAATATACCCAGTATAGCATTAACATGTGTTAGTTTCTTAAGCAATGCATGTTTAATTAATGAAATTCTTAAACATTCTCTTTGTTGTCTTTTGGATATTTCTTTAATTTATGCCTCTTAACCATTTTCATCTTTATGGAGAAAATACTGTGTATGTTATTCCAAAAATTATTATGTTTTCCACTGGGATCCCCAAGGCTTGAATATCTTTGATTAGATAACCACTTTTAAAAAGAAGAGAATAAGTGATCATATCAAACAGCATTAATTAATAAAAGAAACAAAAATATACCTTTGGTTGGCTAGCAAGAAAAAGGCAATAAAGATGCTATAAATTCTACTTTTATGTTCCTAGAAATTAAATTCTTATCAGTTTAATAAAAACCATACATTTAATATACTGATTTATTAAAGCAAATTGCAGCATAAAATGGCAATATTTGAAACTAGAAAACTTTATTGAATCCTTATTCTATTAGTTGCTAGTTCTGTAACCTAAGGAAAGAGGATTTTCTAAGTCTTAGGTTCCTTAACAATGTCGTGCAACTAAAACTAAATAAGTGAGATAATGTATGCAAAGGACTTAGTGCAATATCTTGTATAAAGGGCAATCAATAATATCACCTGCCTTAGAAGGTTACTTTGATGGGTTTATTAGCGAAACAGTTTCACAGAGCTTTGCAAACTGCACATGAGATATTATGACTTTAATGAATAAAATTGCAATTTATTGTTTGAATAAAAACTAAAACTAAAACATCACCTTTATTTATTTTTTTATTATTTCAGCATATTGTGGGGCTACAAATGTTAAGGTTATGTATATTGCCCATGCCCCCCCCCAAAGTCAGAGCTTCAAGCATGACCATTCCCCAGACAGTGCACATCTCACTCATTTTGTATGTATATACCCATCCCCTCCTCCTCTCTCTTACCTGCCAGACACCCAATAAATGTTATTCCTATATGTTCACTTCTGTGTTGATCAGTTAATACCATTTTGCTGGTGAGCACATGCAGTGCTTGTTTTTCCATTCTTGAGATACTTCACTTAGTAGAATGGGTTCCAGCTCTTTGCATGAAAATACCAGAGGTGCTATATCACCATTGTTTCTTAGAGCTGAATAGTACTCCATGGTATACATATACCACATTTTATTAATCCACTCGTATTAATGGGCACTTGGGTTGTTTCCACAACTTTGCAATTGTGAATTGTGCTGCGATAAACATTTGAGTGCAGGTGTCTTTTTTTGTAGAGTGTCATTTGATCTTTTGGGTAGATGCCCAGTAGTGGAATTGCTGGATCAAATGGTAGATCTACTTGTATCGCTTTAAGGTATCTCCATATTGCTCTCCACAGAGGTTGAACTAGTTTGCAGTCCCACCAGCAGTATAGGAGTATTCCTATCTCTCTGCATCCACACCAGCATTTATTGTTTGGGGACTTTTTGATAAAGGCCATTCTTACTGGAGATAAGTGATATCCCATTGCAGTTTTGATCTGCATTTCCCTAATGATTAGAGATGTTCAGCATTTTTTTTTCATATGTTTGTTGGCCATTATTCTGTCTTCTTTTAAACAATTTCTGTTCATGTCCTTTGCCCACTTTTTGTTAGGGTTGTTTGATTTTTTCTTGCTGATTTTCCTGAGTTCTAAATAGATTTTAGTTATCAGTCCTTTCGCAAGCTACACATCCGATAAAACACCACCTTTAAATACATCAGTTTTTGAGATTTCCTATTTTTTGGCAGTTGGCCATCAGCCCACAGCCATGCCTTTAGTAAAGACCTTTTATTACTATGGGATCAGTTAAGGATTGACAAACAGGCAAGTTTCCCCAGGAGTAAATGTCTCCTGTCTTTTACTCCATTTAGGGAGAATGGCAGTAAATGCAGAAGGAAAGTCTCTCTTGTGTACCTAACTGTGGAAGTGGCCTGAAAAAGCTAAAACTGCTGTTTGGCTATGCATGAGACAAGCTCAGAGCTGGTAGTTGTTTCATTTGCCCTGTGTTACTTCTACTGAGCATTATCACCTCCCTGACAGCCAGGCCACTGCACACTGCACCTTGCGTCGAATTCACTGTTTTGCTTATTTCCATCGCTTCCCCCCACCCCACCCCACCCTGGTCAGGACTAAGGACAGAATCACAAAAAGAAACTCCTACGCGGTTCTGGCTCGGGACTGAGAAATGTGCTCAGAAAAGGTAGGGTTCCGGCGCAGCTATGAGACGCCAGGGGGAGGCCAGAGCCAACAGAGACCAAGTAGTGCGTGCTTGGGTCCACCGCGGACTCGGCAAAAGACTAAGAGTGCTAGATACCCGGTGGGCGCTCAAATATTTGCTGATTAAATGCCTACACTATACAACCTGTTTTGAGTCAATCACATCTCAATCCAGAAAATAATCGAGCTATGTTTGAACTGACTCAAAGTGTCATTTTGCAAATATAAAATCTATCTTGTTCTTGCATCTGCAGGAATAAAACAGTTTAAAAGGTAAGCCTCGTGTTTTTGTTTTTTTTTCCTTTCCATTTTGTGCCAACTTTTATAATTTGCACTTCAGCATGAGCGTCAAACTGCAGCAGAGCAGGGCGAAAGACTTTTCAGCCTCTTCCCAAGGACATTTCGAGATGACTGGCTCCAGTTCCACTTTTCCGCGCTCGAGTTGAACCCTGGATAACAGGTTCGCGTCTGAGAGAAGTCCCAGCTGCTCCCCCTCACCTCGTGCTGGGGACAACCCTCCCCTGTCCCCCCATCCCACTCTAACCTCCCCAGGAAGCCTGCGGGGTGGAACACATCCTGGGTGGTAGGGTCAAGGCATCCGAGCAGCCCTAGGTGGGCGCTCTCGTGCCCACCCCGCTCAGCTGCTCCCCTGCCTTTGCAAACTGTGCGCTCCGGCGCCCTGGCACCCGGACACCTAGCCCGGCCAGCGGCGGCAGCGCGCGCGCACGCGCACTCCGCGGCCCCGCGCCGCTCCTCAACATTCCATTCCACGTGTTGCTAGTTGTAGGCGCCACAGGTTCCCCACCTGCGCCGGGGCGCTCGCTCCGGCCGCTCCACCTCTGCCGGCGGACTGAGGGGAACCACAGGGCCGGCGCGCCTGAGGCCGGCGCAGCAATTCCCGAGGCGCTCAGGCTCATCCCCCACGCTAACTCCGCCTATTCAATCCCGGTGGCTCCCCCTCTTCCCCCTCCCAGTCTTCCTCCCGACTCCTGCCCGCCCCTTTCGCCCTGGTGGTAGGAAACACTCCTGGATCCAACTCGACGTGTCCGGAAAGCCCTGGCCAGTTTCCCTTTCGCTCTGCGGCCGCTGCTGCCAGCCCCGCGGCTCCCTCGGACCCGCGGGTGCCGCCGCCGGGGGTGAGGCGCCTGGGGACCGCGAGCCGAGCGGCGGGGTCCCCCGAGCACCATGCTGGACCCGTCCTCCAGCGAAGAGGAGTCGGACGAGGGGCTGGAAGAGGAGAGCCGCGATGTGCTGGTGGCGGCCGGCGGCTCGCAGAGAGCTGCCCCGGCCCCGGCTCGGGAAGGGCGGCGGGACGCGCTGGGGCGCACGGGCGGCGGCGGCGCGGCCAGACCCGTGAGCCCGAGCCCCTCGGTGCTCAGCGAGGGGCGAGACGAGCCCGAACGGCAGTTGGACGACGAGCAGGAGCGGAGGATCCGCTTGCAGCTCTACGTCTTCGTCGTGAGGTGCATCGCGTACCCCTTCAACGCCAAGCAGCCCACCGACATGGCCCGGAGGCAGCAGAAGGTGAGTCGCGGGACCGGCGCCTTCTGCCGCCACTTCTCCCTGGGGTTTTCTCCGGAGAGCCCTCTGGGGTGCCTGCCTGTCTGCCGTCTTCCTGCGAAATAATCTTTGGGGACAAGACGGCTCTTTCGCCCGCCGGGTGTGGGGTTGCATCGGACACCTTTTCTCCCCCCCTCAGCCCGGGTGGCAGGAGCTGTCAGCTCACCATCCGTGAGACCTAGACCGACCACCAGCGCCCGCCTTGCTGAGGTTGCACCCGGCAGGAGCAGCTCTGGCCGGATTAGATTGCAACTCCTATCAAGTTTAATTTCTAACAGCAGTCATGCATTCCTGTCCCCGTAGCTCGGTGTGGTATTGCTAGAGCTGGGCTTTGCCGTGAGTCTGAATGAGTATGTAGCTAGGTGAAACAGGTGAAGTCTGAGCACTTTTCTTCTGTTAGCCAGAAAGAAATCTTAGCTAGGGAGACGTGCAGAAAATCTCCTCAGTGAATAAAAACCAAAGTTTCCTTTACTGCCATACAACCGGGACATCAAATGCACAAACACTGAAGAAGGTATGAAGCTTTGTAGACTAGTAAGTTATTCTCTGTCTTGGCAGGCCTAATGAAACGTACTGTTGATGAAAAATAAGGCATTGATGCATAATCGCTTCATAACAAAATGCTTTCAGAATGCTTTGTTTTGTTTTGTTTCTTGCTTTTCCCCCAAAGAGGATAGAGGTTTGTTTCAGGTGAAATGTCTTCCAACTTTAGTTTTAAAACAAGACCGAGGAGTCTGATGTTCTGTAGCAGACAAAGGAAATGACTCAAAATTGCCTGAGTAAATGTTTACAATAGAAACTGTCTAGGAAATTTTGTTAATATTGTAGTATGCTGAACCTGGAAGGTTCTGTAGAAATCTGTAACAGTCCCCTCAGTTTGTGACAAGACATGGAGATCTGGAGAGATTGTGGTTTGCTCAAGACATACCTAGGTGCACAGATATTTATTTTCTGAGATATTAACTTCAAATGTGATGTATTTTTAGAAATTTGGAGAGGTTTTGAATTGACTTGAAATATAACTAGTTCAGAGTAGATTCTGTCTCCCTAATCCCTCTCAACACTCTCCTCCCGTTTAACTGACCTTTATTTTTTGAGGTATGATTGATGTGTAAAAAGCTGTACATATTTAATGTGTACAACTCAGTGAGTTTGGGGTAAGTATACACCTGTGAAACTGCTTATAGTTAACAGTACTGTATTGTATGCTTATGATCTACCTTTAGAAAATTTTTATGATCTGTCTTTAGAAAATTTTATTGAGTGTTCTTACCCAACCTTTTAGAACAGGCACAGACTGAGTAGCTATTTTGAAATCATTTATACTTTGGGAGTGTTATGGGATATTTCTTTACAGTTGGAGACTAATCACACAGATCCTTCAGGTAACCGAACCCTGTAGGATAGTTTAGAGTCACAGAAAGTTAGAGCTGGAAGAGATCTTGAGATCCTCTAGGCAACTCTTTATGTTGGAGACGAGAAATAGGTCATAGTATCATTCCCCATGCCTGAATGATTAAAGCCACCATTCCTCAGGTCAGTTTTGAATGCCCTGCAGTGTCTTTGTGAGCACTCCACTCCAGGATGAATACCCTACTTCCTAACCAGTTGCTTGTGTTGAGTCTCTTCTGAGGCAGTTTCCCATGTACTCTACTTCACGTCAAGTCAAGCAACCGTCAACTTTAGTAGTCATTCTTAAACTAAGTGTAATTTTTGAGATATATGTTGTGGTATGAGTTCTATAAAGTTTATATTGTCCAGTCTCCAGCTTTATCACTCATATTGCATTTAAGCTTATTCTTAGTATATTAAAGTATAAAAATAATGTCTGGTAAAGTTAACAGGCTATTTCTTGTTGGAATATTACCCTTGAAGATGTCTTTACAAAAGTCATTTACTAGGAGTTGACTTATACTGTGAATACTTGTTGCATTTTGTTGATGAAGCAGACTCTCCCTTAGTTGTTCAAATAGTGCAGTTTTCTCTCACTCCACCTGTTTCAATAAGAATGTTTGTTCAAAATTATTTGAATTGGCAAACAGGTGCATTCACAGTAGCCCTGAGGAGATTATTGTTACAGCCTTATCCAGGCATTACCAAAAGTAATTTCAAATTACAAAAAAGAAGCAAAACACTATATATGTTCAATGACAAAATAGTTGGAATGCTTAGAAATTTATATTTTCTAAGTGCTTAGAATATTGAGTGTAAATCAAATTGTGAATAATTTTTATTTTTTATTAAGATGGATGCCCCATAACAGCCTAAGTAGTTACCTTATTCAAAAGCCTCACCCCTCATAGTAACGTGCAGCTCACAAAAAGCAGCTGAAATAATTCTTGGCAGTCTGGTTTCCTCCTAGAGCAAAACGAAATGAGAATTTAACTATGTTCAGGTGAATTCGATGCACAAGCCAATAATTAATGCCAAAAACTTACTTTAAGTCTTGAATTATACAGTTGGATTATATAAAAGAAGTAACAGGATAATTGCAAAATCACTAATCCATTGTATATTTTTATTCTGTATCTTCAACTAGTCAGACATTCAGTAAAAAGATTTAATAGCTTAGATTATTGTCATTGAAATGCATATTGCTGCTTACTCACTTCTTTCAACTTTGAGAATTTAGAGACTCAAAAATTGAGATCTGAAAGGGTCCTCATTTTCTAAACAAAGAAAATTAATCACAGAGATAAGAGCTTTACCCTGGAGGCCAGGACTCAGGTTTTTCATCAAAGCCCTTTCACTGTTAGGGCTGATGAGCTTCTATGAACCAGAGCTGAGCAGCCCTGTTTATTTTTTCACCTGCCCAAAATGGCCCACAAAGCTAGTAAGAGGTTGTGTCTGTGAGCTATTTGATAAAGCTTAATAGCATTAAATGCAGTTAACAAAAACAGATATTTCTTTGCTTTTGGCTGGAATATTTAAACTAAGAGGAATAATAGTCAGTCTCTGTAATTGACTACTGATGGCTTTATAGAAAATTCTGGGGGTGAGTATGGGCTAGACACTGACAGAGTGCTGTACCACGTGGTCACACCTTCTAAATAAACATATCCAGGGGTTCATGCATGTTAGGAATATGATGTAACAGACATCTAAAAATGACTTCAAGAGTGAATGGTGTTTAAGCTTCTAATGCTTGCTTTTCTTGATTACCTTTGCACTATAATGATGCTAACTGATTATGAACTTTGGATGATTCTAGATCATTGGTTAAAGGTAGGATCAGTGTTGAAAGTAGAAAAATAATAATATAAATCAAGCAAATCAGGTATTAGTAAAGGCAATTTGCATGTCATACTTCTGGAAAACATTGAGACCTTGGAGGAAACAGTAATAAAAGGGCTCCTTTATAGTTAGAAGGTAGGGAGACCCTTACAAGCATAATGACCAGCAGAGAAGAGGTAAAGTACTTTCACTCAGAGATGTGACTTCACAGACTTCAGGTCTAAATTCATAACTATGTTTAAGATGCATGTGACTTAGAGTCTATAGGTTTCTAGTCAGTATTTGCTCTATTCATTATTTTTGTTTTTATTAAATTTAGCAAAAGTCAGATGTTGAAAAGGAGCCAACTAATTTTTAGCTAGAAATAATGAAGAGGGAGTTAAAAAGATTAAGATGGTATCTAATAGCTTTCCATATGATTCATATATCCGTGTTCTCTGTGGTTCAATGTGTATTGCCACTATAATCACACTAAATTGTGCCTTATAAACCTTTTTGTATCATAATCACTCCCACCATTTTATATAATTTTCCATGATAGAATCTAAGTTTGAGAAATGTATATAAATAATACTGTGAGATTGCAGATGGTGGGGAAGCAAACTTGAGTAAAATTGATCTGGAGGAGAGCATTGTGGAGAAATAGTATTGGTTGGAATAATACACAGTGGGCTTTTTGCCTCCAACTCTCATCTGAATGTTGTACTATGATAAAATGGCCTTTATCTCCCTTTGGAAGCAGTAGTTTTCTACTTTTTTGTTTGCTTGTTTTAATCTCAGAGGTGATCCTTAAGCTCAGAGAAAGAGCCAGTTTTATTAAACTTGAGCTATAGATCTACAAAGGCTGAGAATCACTTTTCTTGTGCTAGGTGCCCTGTGTCTTGGTGTTATGTTTTCCTACCTTTGGGGCTTTTATGACACAAATGAGGCCTGATGTGTACTTAGCACTGTGCATGACATGTAAGAACTTAACAAATGTCTGTTGTATACATGTAAGTCTTAGATTCAGTCCATGCCTCAAGGATTAGTGAGGCCTAGGATGGAGGAAAGATAATATAAAAGCAAAATGAAAGGGTCTTCTACTCTTCTTTTGAGACTAGTGTTCTTAAACATATTTTGAGATCTCAAGGGCTTACCTCATCTTTCTAAAGAAAGTCATAAAAATGGTACTACCTGTTGGTATCGAACTAATGACTTTGAAGTGACACCTTCTCAGTGCGCCTACCAAACCCCAGAGACAAATAAACAGCATTGGATCTCACAGTATGCCTTGTTTTCTTGCTTGCAGGTTTCCAGCAGATCTGGTGATAGTCTAATATGCTGTGCTCTTAGGGAGCTAAGATCATTTATCCCAGCGATCTCCAGCCTTTTTGGCACCAGGGACCATTTTCATGGAAGACAGTTTTTCCACGGAATGGGGAATGGTTTGGGGATGATTCAAGCATATTGCATTTATTGTGCACTTTATTTCTATTATTATTACATTGTAATGTATAATTAGACGACTCACCATAGATTGGGGACACCTGATTTATCCTTTGTGCTTCTTAGGCTTTGATATATTATAGTGCAAATACAGAAAAGATGGGTTATGTTATTTGCTGCTGTTAATAATAGGGAATACTTTGCCCTGTGGTGGTGAGTTGGAAACCACACATTAAAGTAAAACCTCAGACCAGACTTAAAACGGTATCTCATAGAAAAATGCTTGTTGCTTCCACTGATTCTTC